AGCTAGACGATCAACGGCAATTCCACTGGTAACCTACCACTGTTGACTCGGGATCTCGACTCCTCAGGTTAGCGCTTGGCAGTAAAGCAAGATCCCTGTACAAGGAATGCTTAGCTCACCTATACGTTTTGAGAACGCCATTTGAGCAGGCACGGTAAATCCACAGTATTATCTAGTTTGAAGGTGGAGCTTTCATTGTGTGTGACAATAATTTTGGAACCACTGTTTACAAATTTAACTATTCTCCCTCTGCAGTCACTATATCACCGAAGTCAGGGAATACCTACTTTTTGCCTAATGGTCAGAGTTTGAGAGAAAACCGACTGCTTCCGTTTAGCTGATCAAAACAAGACCGAATTCTTCGAGAAGATCACACACAAATCTGTTGAGGTCAAGCCTAGAGGAATCTGGCTCATTTCTGAACTTATTTTGGGGAAATAACGCTCCTGCCCTGTTCTATTCTGTCCGCCTATTTGTTCATGAGACCTTTGCGCAACATGATATACCTCAAAACTTTGCCATTGTCATACGCTGTTTCGATGTCATAATTGTTGGCAGGTGCTTAAGTGTAGAGAACTATCCAGACGCTTCCACAAAAGCAATAGCGTCTGATAAAGTGTCCACGCGCTACAGTTTCGTGTAGGGTTATCGATGGTAGNNCACGATGTCTGTATAGTCTCCAAGTTTTTGGCTTCCAAATCCCATCCAGTCAGTACAATAATGGTCCAGAATGTGTGAATAGTATTTTTCTGCCCCTGAAAAGCGAAAAAGAGCACAACCATCATCTGGAAGCTGACAAAATTTATCCGGTTTTTTGTATTGCGCGTCGTACCTATTAGTGCACAGGTGGTGATAGCCATAATACAATCAGAAGGTCAAAAAGGAACTTATCGTATGTGAGAGTTCCTTGGTGAAAGTCCGGATGGCGGTAACGCGTTTTCTCCGCAGTTTGGCTGCTACACGTGTTCCATGATTGTCCGTGGACCTGAAGTGCTTGGGCTAACTACTTGCTCCCTGAGCGCGCGCGAGTCTGCGTGTCCTGACTGGGTTCGGTTTCCCTTTATGTAGGTCCCAGTGCGTATACGTGGGCGCGTCGGCACATGAGTGGTTGCTACGCTGACTAGGCGGTGCAGACAATCGATATCCGATGAGTCAGCTTAATGCGACGTGTGCATGAGACAAAAGACAGGTCTCGCGATCCAGTGAGCGACTGTGAGTTGAACAGTCAAGTATGTGGGTGACTGGGTCGCTACATACCCACATAGTATATGGTTTTTGAATGAGCTTCAGAAAATTTTAGCGGAAACGCCGGGTGTTTTAGAGGACAGACGGTCGCCCCAATCTGCATTAGGTTTCACGGTTGTGTAAAAGGTGAAGTAAGTGAACGAATCTCAACGCTGCAATTTAAAGCCAGTTACTCTATCTGGAAAGCATGTCATCAAGACTAAAAGAGTCATGTCAGTCCTGGAGGGGAGGTGCAAGGCAAGCTCCCGCCTGGCAACAGATCGGCTACCTCTGGTAGCACACCTCTCAACTCGTTACCTTCGGACGTACATCAACTCCACCGAAAGATGATTAGTTCCCCATGCAAACTATTGAGAAACTCTCCCCAGCTACCTCTTTACGCATCTCTTTTGGGCAAGACATTTTGGCGCTCTTCAGGCCTCCTAAATGGAGCTCAGGCGAATCAGTTTTTGTGGACGTTTTGCATCGGCCTTGACCAAGGACTCTCAACAGAGCGTCCATCCAGATGTCACGCATGTCAACCAAAATTTATTCTGGATTTAGTCATAACCAACGAAAGACACCTTGATGATCAAGTTGTAATCAAGTCTTCCATGGGGCACAGTGACCTCTGTGAGATTATCTTTGATTCCATCCACTAATGGGCCAGGAACCCGGATCCTCCAAGAGGATCGGAAG